TTATATATTAACAACCACAAAGCCAGCAATGTGATATAGCAGCCAAAAAAGGTAATATATTCTTAGGTTTCATTTACGGAGAGGTGATATTCCCCTAATACCGACTGTTAATCAGACTTGGACTGGCACATTGTGTTTAGTTCTGGGAACCTCAGTTTAATAAGGACGTGAAGACACTAGAGTCCAGAGAAGGGCAATCAGAATGGTTGAGGGCCTTGAGTTTACGATATATGAATTGAATGAAGAAATCTGGGCATGTTTAGTCTAGAGAAAAGACTGAAAGAGGACAGGATACCTGTGTTCAAGCATCTGAAGGCCTATCATGAAGGGTTAGGTTTGTTCTTTTGTTCCCAAAGAACAGAAGCAGAAACAATGGGTAAAAGTTACCGAGAAGATAATTTAGGATTAACCACAGGAAAAAAACCTTAGTTTTCTAAAAGTGGAATGGCTTGCCTCAAGAGGTAGTGAGTAGACTTCCTCTCCTTATAGGTCTTCAAGCAGTGGCTGGCTAACTATTTTTTGGTCATGTTATGGTGAGGATTCCTTTATGTATAGGTTCAACTAGATGTTGTTAACTCTGAATTCTCAAATTCTATGACTGTGATTACAAGCTGATAAGATCAGCCAGCAGGAGAGTATAGCATTATAAACCATGATTAATACTCTGGACATGGATGAAGACCCAGCAAGATCCAGCAAAGGAGACTGAGAAGGAACAATCAGACACAGGAAGAGAACCATTGTAGGCTTGAAGAGAGAAACTACTTTCTTCACACAGGCAGTAGTTGGCAAAACCTGAATTTAAAACTAGGTTGTCGGGCTCCAAATTCAGAACTCTTTCTCACCATATCATGCTTTCTGTAAACAAAAGAGTTAGTATGGTTTAGGCAAAGTGTAGGTATCATAAATATAGACAATGAGAAACTAGAGAAACTAAATAATCAGTTTTTAAAAATACTACACTGAAGGACAAATTTCAATATTTCTTTTTAAGTATTTTTAAGTATAAAATGAAGTTTGTAAAATGTATTGATTTTTTAAATATAATTTAAAATATCTTAATAATTGTTCTATATAACCCAAATAAGATGTGGTTCTTTCACTTTATAGCTCAAAGTAAGAGTTAGTAAAACATTATATAAATACAATTGAAAACCCTACACTTAATGAACTATGTTAAAATTACTGGCAGACACATACATACTGTTTGGTAAATATATTCGCTAAAACCTTACTAATACCAAGGAAGAAAAAATGCATAATATGTCCCTTAACACACAAAATGACAAATTTTATAGAGGATGCTGCAAAACTCAGTGCAGTTTTAAGCTATTAAGATTTAAAACTGGATTAGAGTTTTGGTACACCCTGTATTTAAAGGGTCAAATACAAGTTTCTTAAGCAAGCCACCCCACTAACAATTCTATGAGACATCATACCTTCATTAGAACCTTAAAATCATGTAGGCCAACTCTCTCTTTACAAATAAGGAAATTGAGACCTCAGAAGAAAAAGTGACTTGTTAGAAGTCACACAGGTAGCAAACAGAATTTGAACAAGATGACGTTTAACCTTATAACCTTTTAAACTTTGCAAAGCTTTGTGATATTTAACAAGCCACTTAAAGTCTCAATTTCTTGGCTTCTTCATTTACAGAATGAAGACAAACACTAACAACCAATATATAAGGATGTCATATGTATAGGAGAAAAAGAGGAAAAGGGAAGGGAAAAGTATTTAGACAGCATTTACTATGAATCAGGCACTGTGATTTTTAACAAATATTACCTCTAAGATCCTCACAACCATTCTGGGTGATAGGTACTATTATTATTCCCATTTTACAGTTAAAGAAACTGAGGCAAACAGAAGTTAAGTGACTTGCCCAGTATGGTGGTGGTGTTTAGTCACGTCCAGATGTTTGCGATCCCCATTTGGGGTTTTCTTGGCAAAGATACTGGAGTGGTTTGCCATTTCTTTCTCCAGCTAATTTTTTTCCAGATAAGGAACTGAAGTAAACACGGTTAAGTGACTTACTCAAGTTGACACAGCTAGTTAAGTGTCTGAGGCCACATTTGAACTCATAAAGCTGCGTCTTCCTGATTCCAGCACCAGCACTCTACCACAGGGTAACACAACTAATAAGTTATTTAAGGCTGCATTTGAACTTAGGTCTTCCCAAATCCAGGTCCAATGTTCTAGTCATTAGGTAGTATAGATATTACCCCAAATCTTTCAAAATAAGACTATAAAAAATACAATTTCTAGTGGGAAGTAGAAACAGGATGTTATAAGAGAAATTGTGGAGTGGAAAACATATGAGTGCCTGCTGTATAACAGAGAAGAGCACAGCGCTAAGTGCTGGGTGAATTCTAGAGCTTGCAAAGCATGAAATTTCTTGCCCTTATAGATTCTGTACTAAGTACAACAAATACAGAATCTTATTAACCTTATTCTTACTCTTTCATTATCAACTGAAGGGAACAAAGAAAGCTTTTGGGAGGAGGTGGCATTTAGCTTAGACTTTAGAGAATAGACTGGAAATCAATAGGTGGATAGAGGAAAGGAATTCCATACACAAGTTGTGGGCAAAGATACAGAGAGGGGAAAGTTCAGAAAGTGTCCGGTGAGCAGCCCAATTTGGTTAAATTGCAGAATATATGGAAGGAAATATTAATGAAATAATTGAGTGAGAATAATAATGTGTTTATGTTATGATAATAGTCCAGACAGGTGGTAATGCACTAGTTAAGGTGATAGTAGGAACGAACAGAGATGGCTAGGATATTCCAGTGACAGATTCAACAGGACTTTATAACCAACTGAATAAAGGATAAATGAAAAGAAAAAGTAAATTATATCACCAAGTTTTTAAACATAGGAAACTGGATGAATCATGATGGCACTTAGAGAATAGTGAAGTCAGAAAGAAAAGCAGATTTTGGGGGAAAGATACTAGCTTAGTAGATCACATTTATTAGCTGTGTAACCTGGATAAAGTACTTTTTACTTTGTTGAACCTCAATTTCTTATCTATAAAATTAAGGGGTTGTTTAGATCATCTTTAACACTTCACACAATTCCTAAGATTCTATGATTTTGTTTTACCCTTTATTAATGTTATTAATGGAGGGAAGGACTGAATGGTGTTCCAATTGTTCATAAAAATTTTGAAAAGCAATCATATCAACAACCATGAACTCATGTTATTTCTCTCAATTTAACAGTCCCTCTTTTTTCTTTTGAACAAAATCCTTCTCTTTAAATAGACAATTCCAAAATAATCTCAGTTCACATTACCCAATTCTGATTGCCCCATTTCCTCCAGAATTTTGCTTTGCACTATATTAATGTGCAAAAACACATTTTTTCACCTTCATGGTTTTGTCCTATAAATTCCTTAAGGATAAACATCCTCTTTTTCTATTTATTTTATTCCCCATCCTTACACCTCTGTCCCCTTGATTCCCTATCTCCAAAGCTCTGCATTGGGTTCTACAAACAGTGGTCACTCAGTAAATATTGTTCACTTCTAAAATTAGAAGCAAATCACTAGACTCAGTGGATCTAGCATCTTATCCCTGAAGCTAAGGTTATTTCTAAACCCATAATAATCATATTAAATAAACATAGCTCAATCTGAGTCCCAAATTTGCATTTTTACATGGAAAAGAGCTGCAAAATCAAATAGCAAAGAAAAGAGGGTTGTTTCCTTTTTTCCCCCATGTTTGTTATATAAATGCTTCATCTGTGGAACTTGCCATGAACTTTAGCCTAGAAACCAGAAAACAAGTACTGTGAAACAAAAGTGAAACTTAGAGTCTGCACTTTGCTATTTGGTGGGCCTTGTTACTCCTGGTAAATTGTATGAATTTGTACAAGTGATTTAACCCCTCCAGGCCTCAGTTTCCACCTCTGAAAAAGATAAAGTGTTATGACAGATGACCTCAAAGTCCCTTCCGGGTCTAATCCTCAAAACAAAGCAAAACTGTACAAATCTATGTGTTATCAAAATCTTACTTAGAAATAATGAGGTACTTTAGTATAACAGAATTTTTATTTGAATAATGATGTACAATGAACAACAGACTTGCAAATGTTGTGGGCCATGCTGCTGGAAGTACATTTTTTTTTTCTTTCAACTGAGCTGTAAGGACTTGTATGCTTTCAACAGCTCTGTGGATTCCTATTACCTCAAGAGGCAGTGTGTACCAGTGGAAAAAGCTAAGCACTCTGAAGTCAGAGGACCTGGGTTCAAATACCGGCTTTGACACTTAGAAACTGACAAAGTGAAATTGTTTAAAAACATACACTCTCTCATTTTGCTGGAAAGAAAATAGAGGACCAAGACGCGTCAGATACCAAGCCTCAAAAGCAGGTACTTGAACCCTCATTCTTTCACTCCAGGGCCACTTTCTTTTCCTCCACACTACGGTGAAGTGATGTCTGTGCAAGACTGAACAAGTTTATCACACCCATGATGTCATTGGTCCTCTTCAAAAACGAAGGACAACATAACATTGGTTTCTTTATTTGTAAAAGGTCTATTAGCCCAAGGCCTTCTTTTCCCGCCCAAATTCGATTATCCTACTAGTGTAGCATGCTAACATGTTCTCTTGTCATTTATCAGGTCTTGGGGCGCTGGGGGGGGCCAGGCTATCTCTCCTGCCTGCAGGTCCCCTAGGGTATCACGCCCCTGGGGCTGGTCTCAGTGGGGGTCTGGGCTCCAGGCTGGAGATTGGGGAGGGGGTGAAGACACCTCCTTTTTGGCGGGGCCTGAGGATTCCAAGTTGGGGCGAGAGAGGTGACACCAGCAGCGCCGCCGCCGCCGCCGCCGCCGCCTTCTCCTCCTCCCTGCCCCAGGACGGCCGAGAGCCCTAGGAGGGCGGGCCGGCCCGGCGGGCGGGAAGCACCGGGGCCGGGGAGCCGAGCGGAGCCCCCGGCGGCGGCCTCGGCCCGGCGCCCACCCCCTTGCCCGGCATCGCCCTGCAGGCTCTCACCGTTTCCCGGGGGATCCATCTCCTGGACCGGCATGAAGGACTCCTCCCAGGTGGTGGAGAAGGAGGAGAAGGCAGAGGCTGGGACAACCAAGCCCTGCAATAGCCCGCCGGGCTTCCCCGGCCACGCACCGGGCCCTGGGGCCCGAGACAGCACGAGCCCCGGGGTCAGGAGAACCGGGGCACTACGGACTGCGGGGACCGGGCAAAAATAGAGGGGAACGGCCAGGGGCGGAGGCGGAGGCGGAGGCAGCCGCCAGGCGGCCCAGGCCGCGCGGTTCGCTCCGCCTCCTCCTCCCGCAGCTGCAGCTGCGGCTCCGGCCCCTCCTCTCCGCCGCCGCCTCCGTCCCCGGCGCCGCCGCCCGCGCTGCTGCAGAGGCAGAGGAGCTGGCCGGGGCCGAGGGTCCGGCGGGACAGCCCACGAGCAGCTAGCCCCGGCGGCTAGGCCCGCGCGGCAACAGCTGCAGGAACAGCAGCAGCAGCAGCTCCGAGGCCCGCCGGGCGGCAGCAGCAGCAGCAGCCCTCCCGGCCAGGGCGGGGGAGGCGGCAGCAGCGCCGCCAGCGGCGGCGGTGGCGGGAGCAGCAGCACCATGCCCCGGCTCGGGCTCGAGGGAGCGCGAGGGAGCCGCGGCAGCTCGGGATCCGGCCCGGGACGGGGCCGGCGGAGCGCCTCTGCCTGCCCAGGGGAGAGCCCCAGCGGCAGCCGCCGCTGTAGCGCAAACCCGGACGGCCTCTGAAGCAGAGGGAGGCGGGCGGCGGAGAGCGCCGGGCGCGCCGTCTCCTCAGAGCTCCTCAGCGATTTCCTCGGTGGCGGGCTTTCCCGCCCCTCAAGCCCGCGGGCTGCTGTCCGGGCCGATCTCGCGCGTCCCGGCCTCACTCCACCTCCTCACTCCCCCCGCCCCACCTCTTCACTTCCCTGGCTGAGCGCCCTGCGCGAGTATGCAAACGGAGCTGAGAAAGGAGACACGTGCGGACGGAGGAAGGGAGGGGCGGGGGGAGGGGAAGGTGTGCGCGTGGGAAACCTTGGCGCTTGAGGGCATGGAACGTCTCGTTCACCCGGGCCAGGAATCCGGCTGGGAGGAGCGCGGGGATTGGGTGCCTTGGGGCAGGGGTTTAAACCATCCACCCTGTGCAAGCGTGCGCGCCCTGGGCACCCGCATAGACTCCACTGGAGTCTACTGGAGATTCGAATAAAAGGAGAAAGTTTAGTGAACGGGAGTAACTCTGAGAAGGACCAGCCCAACTTCAGAGTGGTGAATCCATTGACTCAGTTCTCTTGGCAAAGAGACTTTATAATATATAAAATAGACATTAATTCTGGGAAGAGCTTTGACCGCTTAAATGCACCTGTTATGTTTCTGGGGAGGCTTATTTTTTTTAAATGACCTTTGGGTTTGTTTTTTGCCTATTCTTAAGAAACCTACAGTCCAGTTAGAACAGGGAGAAAGGGTTGGGTCCCCTGATCGCTAAGGTTCTTTGTAACTGTTGCTGTGAAATAGATCACTGTTAGATTGATAACAGGCAGAACACCAAAAAGATACAAAGTTATATTATATGGCAGTTTATACTACACTTGTCTTCAAATATTGAATCCATTATCACTTGAACCAGGCATTTGTCATCACTTAATGCAGAGATAGGGGCTGGACTTGTGATTTTATTGAAGAAGGGAATTCCTGGATGACAGCTAAGAATCAGAGAACTGAAGTTATGATAGATTTAGAGCTTGGGGTGGGGATGTTCTTAGAGGCCACAGAATCCAAATGCCTCATTTTGCAGATGGGGGGAGGAGGAACCCTGGGCCCAGAGACACACAGTAGTACTTTAGGGAGAATTAGGACCTCGGGTCTTCTTGGTTCCAAATCCAGGCCTCCCACCACTTACCATGCTGCTTCTCTGAAGTCTTTTTGAACTGGGTCTTAAAGGATGGGTAGTATCTATACAAGCAATAACAAAGATAAGGCAATTCCAGACAAGTAATCGCACACACAAAATCGTCAGTGTCAGAGTTTGGCTGAACTGTATAAATAGTTCGTTCAAGTTTACAAAGCAGTTTATATACTTCACCTCATTTGATCATCAAAAAAAAAAAAATACATAGGCAGTTAGGTGGCACAGTGAGTAGAGCTCGGCTTTGGAGTCAGAAGGACCGGAGTTCAAATGTGACCTCAGACACATAACACTCATTAGTTGTGTGACTCTGGGCAAGTCACTTAACTCCAATCGCCTCACCCAAAAAAACCCCGAAAAACAGTAAGTTTGGCACTGGGAGTATTATTATCCCTATTTTACAGATGAGAAAACCAGTGCCCCAGAGGCTGGCCACAAGACATGAAAAAAATGGCAGTTGTTATCCTCTTACTTCTCCTACTTGCCTTTATCAACCTCTTCATTAATTTATTTTTTGCTCCCGAATTTGTACTTAAGTCAGATATCATGGATGGCACATTAGAGAGAAGGCATGTCTTTTCCTTCTCCAACACACCCAATTTCTATTTTGTTTCAGTACTAGTTCATCACTTACTTTGGGGCCCTGAAAATTTCCAAACAAGCAAACAAAAAAACCCCAAAAGCCCTGTGCTTTCCACTATCCTTTCTGGAAAGTTCCTAGGTTATATGGTACTTTATCTAACCCTTCTTCATGCACAAGAGATCCCAGAATTTATTAGGTGAACATATGATATTGGGAAGTAGAAAACCTTTTGTCTCAGAGTTCTAGATTTAGCTACGTGCATGTTCTATTTCTCATTTATTCTACCTTCATAGTTCTCCTATGAACAGATGTGTTCTAGTAAATATTCAATAACTAACTTACATAAAAAAATGAACCCACAACACACATTTAAGTTTAATCTGCCTTATTAGCATTTTCTCTGTTGCTTTCTTAAATCTAGAAATCAACAAAATAAATCAAGCTCTGATTCATAACTTTTGCTGATTTCCAGGGTGTAAATGCTCACACTGAAAATTTTACAGTCAGCTGTAGTGAGCCATGTGCAGCTGGCTCTAGAATGCCACTGCTATTAAGGCATGGATAACCTTCCATAAACACCCTTGAAAGGGACCTACAATTAAGTCTTTTTTTTGTCTTCACAGAAGAGAATTTTAAGTCCCCTTCAATCTCTGGCCCCACAAAAGTGTACTCTGATACCAAGGAAAGCCTGTTGCTTCCACTGTTGCTGCGACCCATTTTTAAGAAAGTGTTGCTACTGTGTCTGAAACAGTCAAGCATAGTCTGAGTATCCTTGGTTGTTCATCTTCTTTCCTAGGGAGACACATAGATGCTTCTCCCTAGAAATAAAAGGAAGGACAGAATTGAAAGAAATTTTTAGTAATGGACCATTAATATTGTGCTACAACCTACCTGCACACTCCATAATCTTTTTAGTGCCCATTGTATAACCTACAAACATGATTCTTCTGAGATTGTGGTGTTCTATGATTCATAGTCACATAACATCTCTAGGAGAGTGTTAACATTTTAAAGTGTGCTTGGAAAGCAAGGAGCAACTTGGGATCCCTAAAAGCTCTACACAGTTTCCCAAATGCAATCCATCCTATTCTCCTCCCACTGAATTCTGGGTCCTGCTCATTGTCCATCTGAAATGTGTGAGCAAAATATATGAATTTATTGGGCTTTCCATCCAATTTCCCATCATATGCATTTTTCATAAACTTGATTTTTTTGTATGTGGGTTACTAGATTACCTTCTTTCAAGAAGTAATTAATCCCACTGAGGAGGCCCTATACTATTCTAAGTTCAGGGAATTGTTTTTCTTTTTAAAAAATGATTGATTTTTAACATTCTTTTCTTTTTAAATTTTGAGTCCCAGATTCTCTCCCTACTTCCCACTCACCCAATGCTCACTAAGAAGGCAAACAATATACCAGTTATACATGTGAAATCATGCAAAATATTTCCATATTAGTCATATTACTAAAAAATAAAAAATGAGAAAATTATACTTCAATTTGCACTCAAAGTTCATCAGTTCTCTCTCTCTGGACATTGTCAAAATATTTCCAGAACTAAGGCCCAGCAACCAGGCTGTGTCTTGAGCTTGGCATAACAATAATTTTTTTGCACTCAGGATGATATCACCCTCCGGCAAAGTGTATTGCTCAGACCAGCACCAGGTGTTCTTTAAGGAATTTAGCTCCCCTTTTTCTCCAGAGCTGTCCATCATTTGTTCACAATCCATGTTCCTTGTCACCGACAGGTACCGCACTCCTGTTCCCATCACAGAACTCTGGTTCTGTCCCTGGCAGGTTGGTTCATGACCACCAAGACTTGAGACAATGACTGTTCCCATGGGACCCAAGAATACTTGTATTGTCCCAAGAAATGCTAACCATGAGAAATATCTCAAGATCTAAGAATACTTGTGTTGTGGGCCAGCCCCTTTCATGTATATAAGTGGCCCCAGCCTTAGCACCTTAAGCCCTCCTTCGGGGGGGGGGGGAGGCTTCTTTATGCATACATCATTTTCCTCACTCTGAAATTAAACTTCTGTTTGTGTCCTGATTTTCCTGTCTCTAGCTTTCTCTGTTTGGCTCCAGCCACCCACAGGCCTAGAGTCCAGTTCTGGTCTGGTTGACAACGTGAATGGCATTTTTTCATCATGAATCCTTTGCAATTATCTTGGATCACTGTATTGATCAGAGCAGCCAAGTCTTTAACAGTTGATCATCTTTACAACATTGCTGCTACTGTGTACAATGATCTTCCTGTTCTCACTTCACTTTGCCTCAATTCATATATGTCTTTCCATGCTTTTCTGAAACTACCCCCCTCTTCATTTCTTATAGCACAATAGTACTCCATTGTAATCATATGCCATAACTTGTTCAGCCATTCCCCAATTGATGAACATCTCCTTAATTTCTAATTCTTTGCCACCACAAAAAAAGAGCTGCTATAAATATTTTTGTACATATAGGTCTTTTTTCCTTTTTCCTTGATCTCTATTGGGTATAGACTTAATATTGGTATTGCTAGATCAAAGATTATGCACAGTTTTATAACCCGTTGGGCATAATTCAAGATTGTTTTCAAGAATGGTTAAACCAGTTCCCTATCCACCAATGGTTTACTAGTGTATCTATTCTTCTTTTATTCCCACTGGCATTTGTCATTTCTGATAAGTGTGAAGTGGTACCTCAGAATTGTTTTATTTTGCCTTTCTCTAATCAGTAGTGATTTAGAGTATTTTTTCATATGACTAGATAGTTTTGATTTCTTCTTCTGAAAACTGTCTGCTCATATCTTTTGACCATTTATCGATTGGGGAATGGCTCTTATTTTTGTAAATTTCACTCGGTTCCCTATACATTTGAGAAATGAGGCCTTTATCAGAGAAACTTGATGTAAAATGTTTTTATAATATTTCGTTATCTGTGCCACAGTGCTTCTTAACTGTGGGGTTGCGACACCATATGGGTTTAAGAAGCGCCGAAAGGATCGAGACTGGAAAATATTTAAGAAGCCCTGATCTACGGTACCTTTTAGCAAAATGTAGTTTCCCTGATTATTTCTTTGAATTAAATCTATTTTGCTTTTGCTTTGTCTGAGATAGAGATTGCCACCCCTGCCCTCTTCACTTCACCTGAAGTATAATAGACTCTGCTCCCGCCCTTCATTTCAATTCCGTGTGTGTTTTTCTGTCCCAACTGTGGCTCTTGTATACAATGTATTGTTGAATTCTGGTTTCCAGTCCATTCTGCAATCCACTTCCATTCTGTGGGAGAGCTCATACCATTCACATTCACCGTTATGATCATTAACTAAATTTCCTTCCATCCCATTTTCCTCTGTTTATCCTTCTCTCACTCTTTTTATCTCATCCCTGTTCAAAGTGTGTTTTACTTTTGACCACTGTCTCTCCCAATCCACTTTCCTCCTTATCATTCCCCGCACACGCACTCCTATTTCTCTTATCCCCTTTCTCTCCTGTCTCCATGTTAGGTAAGATAGATATTGTTAACCAGACTGAACCAACCTCTGTGAATGGCTGGAGCCAAACAGAGCGGCCTAAAGACTAGAGAGTCAGGAATCAGAAGTTTAATTTCAAAGTGAGGGAAATGGCTTGTTAGCAAGGAGGCAGATTAGACACATTTGCCAGGGCCGTGTCCCTAGTGTGGGGACCCAAGGCAGAGTGGAGAGATTTTAATACTTATACCAATGGCTACACAGTGAGATATAGCCCTGACAATGAGGGGTAACAGCAGCAATGAGACAAGTTTGATTCATATCAGGGCTTCATGATCAGAACATGGGTTCTTGTCCAAGTTTGTCCAGTGCTTGTCCGAGCTCAAAGAACACCTGGTGCTGGTCAAAGCAATACAATAATTATGTGATTTTGCCAGAGGATGAGCACAAAGGATTGTTCTTATGCCAAGCTCGCGGCACAGCTTAGCTCTGGAAAACAGGGCTTCTTAAACATTTTCCAGTTTCAACCCTTTCGGCGCTTCTTAAACCCATATGGGGTTGCAACCCACAGTTAAGAAACACTGTGGCATAGACAATGAAATATTATAGAAACATTTTACAGCAAGTTTCTCTGATAAAGGCCTCATTTGTCAAATGTATAGGGAACTGAGTCGAATTTACAAAAATAAGAGCCATTCCCCAATTGTTATCTTGACAATATCTATACACAGCTGAATATGTACATATATTCTTCTCTCTTTGAACCAATTCCAATAAGAGTGAAGTTCAAACATTGCCCACCCTCATTTTCCCCTCCACCATAAAAATTCTTGCACACATACACTTTTTGAGAAAATTTGCCCAGATCTGCTTCTCTTTACCTTTCTTCTAGCGCATCCCTTTTTTTTACCCCTGCACTCATTTTTTGGAGATCATTCCAACATAATTGACTCCCGTCCATGCTCTCTGACTATATACCCTCCTTTTAACTGTCCTAATAAAGTTCATAACAATTACATGTATCAACTTCCCATATAGGAATGTAAACAGTTTAACTCCATTGAGTCTCTATGACTATTCTTTCATGTTTACCTTTTTTTTTTTTGCTTCTCTTTGGTCTTTTTTAAATGTTTAAATGTTATATATTTTCTATTTAGCTGTGGTCTTTTCATCAGG